AAAACTGGATAAATCATTTATTGACTAGTGCTCGGAAATTTGAAATCTTTATTTTAAATTAAAGTTGAATTCTTTCAATACACTTGTTATGTTGTTATGTTAAAGTTTTTAAACTCGGGTCACGCGTTTGGACACAAAAACCCAACATCATTGTACAAAAAACTTAACCGTACTGTATTTCTTAAACTTCCATAAAGTTTATTAATGAGGAAAACAGCTTTTCCTGCAAATCATGTAAAGCCTAAAAACCGTGAAGCATCGGGAACGCAACTTCTATTCATAAAACTTACACATGTACATACACCTTCCAAATCCAAGGGATCCGACGAATCTCGCAATTCCCTCCTTGCTTTAGCCAACTCTACTAATTTATTAGCTTCCGCATCATCTTCCTCATCACTAAACCATATTTCAACTGTGTCCATTTTTTAAATTTTATAATAAAAGCAATTATTTTAAAAATGATGTAAATAAAACACTCAAGAAACAAATGTAAACAAACAAACAAACAGCTGTTTACAATTCTGTCAACCATTCACAATAGTACAAATTTTTATCGATCAAGTTATACAATAGCAAAATAAAAGATGATCGACTCGATCGACAAATTTCTATTCTACTGCCAGTCGACACTCGCAATAGGGGCCTTAAGTAAATACGGTGCATACGTAACGTAACAGAAAATTGTAGTATATGCAACTAAAAAAACGTTAAAACTTGCGAATCCCCATAGTTACATTTAGCTATGTAATCGTGTATGCAATGGTGAACTCTACTTTATACATTGACTTATTCTTAAGCGCTATGAACTACTTTTGATGAAACTAGTGTTATTTCATACAATACTTTCCGTACTAATGTATTTTTCCTTTATTACAGCTCAAATTGCGTGCCGATTTTGACTTGCAGCTTTATCAAAATACCTGCTCTTGCAAACAAACCTTATTTACGTATATAAATCTTAAACTTTTGCGAAAAATGACAGATTCAATGAAGTTTGGCCCAGAATGGCTGCGTAACCTGTCGACGGATAACACTAGTTTGTTATCCAGTGGTGGTGGTAACTCTGGAGGCGGCACGTCATTATCCAACAGTGGAAGCATTGTGGGTGCCTCATCTGCTTCAAATAACGGTGGAAATGGTGGTGGTCAACATTCATTTGGAATATCATCAAATGTGTCGACGTCGGCGATAACCCAATTTTCGTATGCTTTGGCACCTCGAAATAACTTTCCAGAATTCCGTTACGGTCGTGAAGAAATGCTTTCGTTGTTCGACAAAAACTATAACATGCCTGAAATATTACCAACGTTTAAAAAAATTTTCGTCGAGAAAGTTCAATTGCCACTCGCTCTCACGCCAAGCACAGACGAGGAATTGCTGTCCCAAGTACCACCGGCTCCAACAGTAAGTACTTCGTTAAGTTATTTGTATCCCTAAAGATACTCCCTAACCCTGAATGCATAACCCTCTAATGCATAAGTCCGCCTTAAGGCGGACTTTGATAAAACTGCGATATCCGTAACATTTTTGAATATTTGAACACTACTAAAATTTTATCTTAGTAGGCGGTGTTCGTTCTTTTCAAAAATGTACTCGCCGCTTCGACTGTACATATAACTTTGTAACAAAAACAAGTTGATATCGAAACTTCGATGAAAGTGGTCAGAAAATTCGGTGGGGTGCAATAACACCATACGCAATAACGCCATATGGTCTTAATTTCATTTTGTTTATTCAAATTTGTGCAAATGAGTAATAAAGCCATATTCTGAAATGACACTCTCAAGGCGAATTAATAAGGCGGTGTTACCGGCGAATCTGAATTTTTTGACGTAGAGAACATTACGTCCAAATGATGTGTTTGTTGTAATTCATTATTAAATTCGCCTTGGACACCCTCTTGAATCAAAAATACATACCTGTTCAATATTCAATGTTGATTTATATGTAAACTGTTGTTGAAATTCTAATTAATATTTTTTGTTCCATTCTGAATAAGGTTTTTTGTTCGATTCTGTTAACGTGAAATATGTGTGTGTGTACAGGCTCTCACCAGTTGTCGATACTGAATTAAATTGCGGCAAAAGTGAAAAATATTTGAATTATTGAATATGATTTAAATTGATACAAATTATTACTAATAAAATGAAATAAATAATTATTTAATATTTCCGGATTTATTGGATATTGGAAAATAAATATATGTACTTAGGTAAGTTTTAATTTTGCGAGTCCATAACCTGGCGGGTGCACATTTGCTGGCTTCCCACATCGCGCCGCGCCCGGTCGCGCCGCGATCAGGACCCCCGCGTCTCGCTGCACTGCACTCGCGAGTAAGCCAGCGCAGTGACTCAAGGTAAAAGCGGACTTGTGCAGTACAGTGAAATATTCATTATAGCGTTTCTTAAGTTTTGAATTTTTGCGTTTTAGTTTTGTAAAGTTGTTTCAAGTGCATTTGCCTATGAATGAGTTGGAATATTAAAATAATTATTTATAAATTTCTTAGCCATAGCAATCTATCAAAAATTTTTCGAAATATCGTCGACGTCATTCGAAGATATAACAAAATTTATAGAAGCGGTGCCCTCTGATGACGAAAGTACCTATAACCAGAAAGAAGGTGATTTCGACAGCGATGAAAGCGTCGTAGACGAGACAGCCGGCTTTACGTACCGAAATGATCCGGGTTTTACCCGATCAATGGTTGCTGTTTCGGCCATCTAACCCTCTTTGGCGAAATTTCTCAAACATTGTTCGTCCATATCTACTCCGCACTCTTCTGCTCTGGGCTGCCATCGAGCCAAACACTTGGCCAGGTCTCAGCACTCATAGCCAATAAACCGCGTCGTACATGGCCCTATGCTGGTGAAACCGAGCTGCCTCTCCGGCACACCAGAGTCCGCCTGAGCAACTCCGCACAAACGCGGCCACTCCGCACCACAATACAACAATAGACCACACCACAGACACAACGGCATGAAGTATTAATAGCAGCGGTCCAAGAGACGAAGCTGCACAGCAATTTAACACTCTTTGGCATCCAAGCCTGTCAAATGAATGGTGACGAACCCACCAGTATTATGGGCAGCTGATAAACAGGGGGTCTGATAAACAGCATAACGTGGCAACCTTTGCTGATTCTACCATCAGACCAACTGATGTTCACGTAGGTGAGAGTAAGTTTCGCAGGGTTGTCACTGCTGCTGCAGCCCGCTTCATTCCACCTGGATGTATTTCGGACCCCCGTCCATTAATAACACGAACGGCAATAGCGCAAAATTTGCTTTATTTCACTTTTAAATATTATTTTAATTTATTTCACTTTTAAATAATTTTTTTATTATTTATTTTATTTATTTGCTTTATTTCATTTTCAAATGGAACCAAAAATCGGATTATTGATTGATTTAGATCAGGTCTTCAGTCGTGTAAATGTGCTGCTAAATTGGCTATCAGTCCGTTTTTGGCCCATAATATAATCGGTATGCACCAACAATCTACATAAAAATCTACAAAAGCACACTGAGTTGCCCGCACATTGCTTCTATTTTCTTTTTTTTTGGGGGTTTTGGGTTGTGTCGGCAAAGCGGAGCGCTACATAAGCCAGGTTATTCCTCTAGATTGCGGAACGTTGTTGTTGTTGTTGTAGCGGTTGATATCTCAGTCGTTGTCGTCAAGTTCCACTAACGGCAGCCCTAGGAAGCGTGCGGCCCACAAGGACAAAGCCGTTAGGGTTGTCGGGTTTTCCGGGCATGCGAAGCGATGTTTCGAGTCATGTGGGGTCTCTCCGCATGCCGGACACTCATTTAGCACATCCTCATTCAATCTACTCAGGTAGGAGTTTAACCTGCTGCAGTAGCCAGAGCGGAGTTGGGCTATTGTCGTTCGTGTCTCCCGAGGCAGATGAAGCTCCGTCTCGTCTATGTCCGGTGGTGGTATGCCTAGAACGGCATTCACAGGTCTAGAGTACACAACTCGAGACTGACTCCCTGTGAATGCCGTTGAGGGCCAGTCGGTAAGCTGACGGGTCCAGAGGTTGCTTGATGAACCTCTCGACTTCGTCCGTCGGTTCATATAGATGCCTCCTGACGTGCCTAGGCGAGGACTCCTCTGCAAGCAGCTGTCTGTTTGGGTGGCCACTTCTGTGGCTCCCGATCAGGAACTGCTTGCAGAGCATTATGTTGGGCTCCTTTATGGGGAGTATTTGTGCCTCGTTGTGGGGGTGATGTTCGGGTGACATCAGGAGGCATCCTGTCGCTATCCTGAGTGCGGTGTTCCGTACAGTCTGTAACTTCGTCTACTGCGTCCTACTAGTCCCCGGCGACCACACTGGTGCTGCGTAGTTTAAAACCGGCCGGCCTATTGCCTTGTATGTTGTCAGCAAGGTTTCTTTGTCTTTGCCCCAAGTACTGCCGGCTAGCGACTTGAGGACCTTGTTGCGGCTCTGTACTTTATTGACAATAGCGGTTGCGTCTGCAGAGAAGGAGAGCAGGCTGTCGAATGTTACTCCGAGTATTTTAGGATTATTCACCGTCGGAATTGGTGCATCATCGCCGTGAATTCCTAGCGGTAGCCTGACCTCCTTCGTCCAGGTTGTGAACATGGTCGCGGAGGATTTCGTAGGGGAGAGGGCTAGACACTTTGCAGTGAAGAAGCGAGAAAGTTCGGAGAGATACCCGTTTACTTTCGAACACAGGTCATCAATTCCATTCCCAGTCGCCATGATCGAGCAATCGTCGGCATAAGAGACAATCGAGACTCCCTCTGGTGGTTGAGGGAGCTTTGAAATGTAAAAGTTAAACAGTAGCGGGGAAAGGACACCACCCTGTGGAACGCCCTGTTTTATTTTTCTAGGTTTACTCGATTTGTCTCTAAACATTACCGACGAGTGTCGACCATTCAGATAATTGCCGACCACCGTTTGAGCCTCTGTGGGAGAGAGGAAGCCTATATCTTCTAGTAGCGTGGAATGGCAGACGGTGTCAAACGCCTTCGACAAGTCCAACACAACTAGAATCGTTCTCTCACAGGGACGGTTTCGGTTAAGGCCACGAGTTATATGAGTGTTTATGGCGTTAAGTGCTGTTGTTGTACTGTGCACTGTACGGAAACCATGCTGATGCTTCGTTGGGGTCAAGTGGTTTGTGAAATACGGGAGCAGCAGGGCCTCGAGTGTCTTCGCTACCGGGGAAAGGAGTGTTATCGGCGATAAGAATATCCTATGTTGGCAGGTTTCCCCGGTTTGAGCAGTGGGACCACTCTCCCCACCTTCCAGATGGGACCTCCGTTAGGTACGCTACCCCCGCAGGACCCAAATTTTTCAGCATCAGCATGCATATTCCGTCGGGACCCACGGCTTTGAAGGCTTTCGCCTTCCCGATGGCCACCTGAACTTTACCGCAAGTGAAAGTAAGGGGGGCACAGGTTGTTGGCAGTTTGTGCAGCCTTCTGGTCACTCGACGCTTGGCTTTGTCCACCGGAGGATGCAGTATGAACTGCCGGCTAAAGTAGCTCGCGCATCGCTCTGGGTCCGACGAGGCATGGTCCCCGGAAGAAATTTCGACTCTGTCGTCGTGCTTCGTCGGGTTGGAGAGTGACCTCACGGTTGACCAAAGCTTACTCACACCAGAGGTGAAGTTACAGGTCTTCAGATGCTCTTCCCACTTCTTCCGCTTATGTACGTTTAGTTGCCGAATCTCCGCGTTGAGATCTCTGAAGCGGGGATCTCCGGGATCGGCCTGACGAAGGCCATCACGCTCATCGGCTAGAACAGCCGCTTCGGCAGGGAAGTTTGGACGTGGGTCCGTTATACATCCTGCCGGTATGAAGCGAGCTGCTGCAGCGCAGTGACAGCCCTGCGGAACTTACGTTCACCGAGATGGACGTCGGTTGGTGTGGGAAGCGCAGTTAAGGCGTTTTCAGCAAACTCCGCGTAACCTTTCCAATCAGCTTTAGAGAAGTTAATATAGGTCCGGTGTTTAGCGGAGGCAAAGTCGGTTGGTTTATCTATCGAGATGACTATGGGTAGATGGTCTGATGCTAAAGTCAGCATAGGTCGCCATGTTATGCTGTTTATCAGACCAGCGCTGACTATGGTGATGTCTGGCGAGCTGCTGCAGTTACCCATAATCCTGGTGGGTGCGTCGTCGTTCATTGTGCAGAATGTCGAATCGTCTATCTGCTCAGCCAAGTCTGTTCCCCTACGATCGTTTGACANTATCGTCTATCTGCTCAGCCAAGTCTGTACCCCTACGATCGTCTGACAGGCTTGAGTGCCAAAGATCGTGGTGCGCACCTTTGAGGGGGCCACGTACGACGTGGTCCACTGCCGATGTGTCCGTAGTCCTGAGCAGACTCTAAGGTGTCTCCACCCCTCGCAGGCATTACACTTGACTGAGGTGGAA